TTGAGGCCGTTGCATAAACAAGCTTTGAACTCAGCTATTCATACGACATGCATGTTCATATAAATAAAAAAATCATCACTCATATTTCATATTTTATATTTTATTAACATTTGAGTTCCTTGATAGGAAATATTCTTGGAGGAAATATTGTCAACTTTTGAAATAGCAGGCATCTAATATTCTCATAAGCAATTCACAGTTTTCAAACATGTTTCTGTTTAAGTCATAATTAGATTTTTACTTTAAAATAATTTTCGAAAAACATAAGCAGTTAGAGGGTTTCTTTTTGTTTCACAGAACTTCAGAAGAAAGGGGTTAATCTTACGTGGCGGGAGTTTTGTTGATGAAAAATATGATTGGAATTAACATCAAATCCTTCAACCTAGCTCTGGTTGTGAGCTGCATTTCAACACAGAACAATTCTGAAACTATTCATAAAGAAAGGGTTTCTACAAGCAATTCGGGAAGGTGAATTCTCAAACAAATTTCTAATCTGTCGTGTTTGGTGTTAGAAGTGAAAAAGGAAATGAAGGACTTGAAGGAGACAGGCACTTCTACAGGGAAAAGCCAAAAACTGGACAAGTGAAAGGCGGCGCATATACAATTTTTCTATTGTGTGAGGTTAACTGTGCAACTTTTTTATTTTTTTAATTGAAGTTGCTTACGTGGGAATGTGTCCAATCATATATAGCCATATGTTGAATGCACCAAAACACTCTATAATATCAATTGGTATATCGTGGGAGCAGCCCACAATGTGCATGATGCTCCCAAGCCCAAAACATGGGTGAACAGTACATTGTGAACAGTAACTTTCTTTTTGTCCAGAAGCAGGATGATGTAACTCGTGTGTAAAAAATGTAACTGCGGGGCAAAGGCAAAATGTAACTTGTCTAATACGAAGTATAAGGAGTAAAACATTGATTTCAATTTAGACAATGAAAACAAGGAATCTGATTGGTCAATTACTTTACGTAAATAGTGAATATGTTTTGTTTTAAATATTAAGGTCATGAAAATGTTCCCAAAAACTCTTTTTTTTGCCAAAAAATCAATTTTGGGCAATTTTTTTAGTTTCAATAGTAGGGTTTATTTTGTTATGTAATTCGTGTTATGGAAAATTTAATTTAGGTGTATGCAAAATGTAATTTGTTGAGGAAAATCCAAATGTAACTCGCGCATAGGAAGATGTAAATCACACATAAAAAGATATAACTCACACATAAGAAGTATAATATACAACTTTGGTGTAACTTCATATACAACCAAATATAACTAGATGATTGGAAATAAACAACTCAATGTCTTAAAACTCTCTAAAAAGATATAAATGAGATTAAATATACAAGTATATTATAAGTGTATGAATAAAAAAATTACAAAGATAAAAATAGTGTATGAATATGAAATGCAACACACTTTTCATTTAAATTAATAAATTTTTTATTATGAATTTATACAAAAATAGATTGGGTGATAATTTAAGTTGAAGATAAAGTAAAGTAAAGTAATACAATTAAATTTTTAGAATTTTGATGGAGGAGGAGAAAAGAATTGAAGAAAAGGAAAATAAAGCAGAAGAAAAAGCAAATGAAAAGGATGTAACTCGCGCATAAGAAGATGTAACTCGCTTATAAAAAGATGTAACTCCTACACATGAAAAATGTAAATTTTTCATAAGAAGATGTAATTTCCTGTTTGATAAATGTAAATCGAAATAAACAAATTTAATGTCTTAGAAAACACTAAAACTTTTAAAAGAAGTAAAGGAATATATTATAGTAATTAAAATGTAATTGTGATCTTGTGGAAACATAAAGTAAATTTAGTTTGTTGTCACACACCACGTGTGTTCAACCTAGAGTCAATGAACCACAATTTCAATTCTTTGTAATTACTGGTGGGCGACAATTGAGTGATGAAGTAGTGTGTGCGTGGGAACGAGCGAAGGGTGATGAAGTAAAAACGACGATTGCAGACTTGCAGTGACAGAGAAGAATCAATAGGAGGGTGCGACCTTGTTTTTATTTATTGAAACGACGTCGTATTGGGACCGGTATACCATGCAGAAGTTATACTGATCCCACGGTATAATTTGTGCTATAACACGGATGCACAGGAGAGCTCCCCAAACAACCAAGTTCTTAATAATTAAATAAAGGAACATTGTGCCATACAACTTCTGGCATTCAAATCCATTGCATTACTAAGAAATTTTAAAACAGTACACATTGTTCCAAGCTTACATCCTCAAATACACACTACCTACTAAAGCAAGAAGTACAATCATAGTAAACCCATACAACTTCCTACTCTGTTTGTTGACCTTCGCCTCATTGTCAACAACAGTTTTGACTTAACCAACATCACTTGTACTAGCGAAATCTTTAGGACAAGTCCTTCGACCATTTTTTTCAAATCATCTGCACTTTCGCTCTTCGCTTCAGCCCTGCCATATTCTTCTTTTCTTCAGCCCTCACAATGTGTCGTATGCCTACATCTTCCTTCCATATGAAAAACTGCAACTCCCAACATGTACACATTAACATGTTAATGGAAATTTTCCAAATCATTAAAATATATAACGTATACAATAAATGAACGACGCAACTCACTTTAATTCAAAACCACACAACCAAAATCATAGACTTACCTTCCATTTTTGACACCCAAAAAAACTTCTCCCACTCTCTCGGCCAACGCATAGAGAAGCTTTCAATCCACACCAACAATGAATAACAGGCTCGTAGTCAAAGGTACGACTTCGTTCTTTTAGAAGCGTAGATGATGATGAAGACGACATACTTGCGAAGGCCTCAGTCTGAAGGGAGAAGGAGATGGTGCCAGCTTTGAAGTGGGGAATTTGGGAATTTGGGGTTTTGGGGATTTTTACAAATGTTTAGGCTTTGAAGTGGGGAAAAGCCAAGTCAAATTAACTGCCCGGTAAGGGAGGGATACGTTGGAGTCCATGTCAGCCATTAACTGGCTAACCTGGCGTCAACCGGCTAAAAAGGCAGATTGGGTGTTTTTGTTGAGTACGCGGACTTGATTGGGTGATTCGGAACTACGAGGGCTTAATTGAGGAATTGACCAAAGTACGAGGGCCTATTTGAGAGTTTTCTCGAATTTAAATGTAATTGTGATCATATATAGTATGTGTTGCTGCACTTGCAAGTTGTAAGATAAAAAACTTAGCTTGAGGTTAGTTTCTTTCTCTTCTCTCTAATGCATTTATATTATTTTGGATGGATAAAAGAGATTTTGAATGCAAAGAGAACGAAATATATCTGGTTTTGGTCTTTTGTAAACATAAAATAAATTTAGTTTGTTGTCACACACCACGTGCGTTCAACCTAGAGACAACAAACCACAATTTGTGTTGTATTGTTTGTTGCTAGAACAACCAAAGTGTTATATATACTCCGATCTGTTACATGCTGTTTTAGTTATCAGTTAAAAACTCCTAAACAGTACTAATCATACTAAGATAATCACCGAGTGCTCGCGTGACTTTTTCAATTTGCTGAGAAAGTTCACGGGTAGGTGCCAAAACCAAAGTTTGGCATTCAATTGTGTTGTAATCAAGCATTGCAAAAGGGAGCAATACCTCTTTGATGAATTGCAGAAGGCTTCTCAAGCCTTAACCCAATCCCATAGCAGCATTTAGCTAATCACACACATAAAACTTTAAGGCAAGTAATGATACCATTAAAAGAAAATATAATCTAATACATGTAACAGTAAAAACCGCTAATAACTGTAAAAGTGAAAACCTCTCAAACAATAAACAATAATACATGTGGGACGGAGACTACAATATGAACACTATTATATTAACTTTTACTTTTACAATTGTCTCTTGTTCTCATCAAAGATTTCTGTATATTTTTTCTTCTTTCTTCTAATTTTCACAAACATGCATAGCTTTGGTTTCTGAATCAGATTAGGTTTTAATGGTCAATATTTGTTCAAGTACAACAAATTAAAAATTAACTATGTTTGCATCAATCTATTTCATGCTTTTTAGCTTAATTGAGGATGTTCGCGATCAGTTTAACTAAATTGTTTCAAAAATTCTTGCACAGCTCCATAAGAAGTAAATGTTATAAACTTTCATTAAGAAAATTGTATGATGCATCAAATCAAAAACTGAGCTCATTGTTCAACTTGAGGGCGTTGCATAAACAAGCTTTGAACTCAGCTATTCATACGACATGCATGTTCATATAAATAAAAAAATCATCACTCATACTTCATATTTTATATTTTATTAACATTTGAGTTCCTTGATAGGAAATATTCTTGGAGGAAATATTGTCAACTTTTGAAATAGCAATGAAGAAAGAATATTAGTATAAAACTAATTTCCTAACTCGTTGTTTTGGGTGGGCAGTTGTATATTTTTTGCAAAGGGCATCAAACCTTAAAATAAATGGTATTTGGTTGAATTAATTGGGTTAAGAGCCTAGAGATTTCTTCTTAATTACTGAAACAACTATTTACTAGTCTCTGAAATTCACTCATATTTATTTGACCAAGGTTTGATTTTTATTTTTTCAAACACGGATCATACTTCGTTTCTTGCAAATCATGAGGTTATTTTCCAGTTAAGCTTTATTATGTTTACCATTTTAAAATTTTACATTTAAAAGCAGTGAAGAAAAATAGTAGTTTAAAACTAATTTCTCAACTCGTAGTTTTGGGTGGGCAGTTGTATATTTTTTGCAAAGGCCATCTAACCTTAAGATAAATGGTATTTGATTAAATTTATTGAGTTATGACCCGAGAGCTTTCTTCTGAATAACTTAAACAACTATTTACTAGTCTCGTAAATTTACTCATATTTACTCAAAAATCTAGATGGCAAAGCATCTGGAGAATCACATATCCAATTTTATATAAAAGTTTGTTAAGTTTATTGTCTAAGTTATTTTAAGTGCGTAAGTTTGATTGCTTTGCAGTGCGTTTAAAATTATTTAACATTATGTTTGGCTTTATATAGGTCGCAGACGCGTACGGTGAAGCTCCGAGCATTGTGAAACTGGATTTAGGAGTGGGCATTATAAAGCTACGGTGAGTGTTGAACTTTTCATGTTTTATTTTCACAGCATAAGTTTGATTATTTGCAGTGTGTTTTAAACTCATCTCGGATTGGCTTAGTTTGGTTTTTATTTTTAAACACCGATCATATTTTGTTTCTTGCAAATAATGAGTTTATTTTCCAGTTAAGCTCTATTATGTCTATGTTTTTGAAATTTTACATTTAAAAGCAATGAAGAAAGAATATTAATATAAAACTAATTTCTTAACTCGTTGTTTTGGGTGGGCAGTTGTATATTTTTTGCAAAGGCCATCAAACCTTAAGATAAATGGTATTTGGTTGAATTAATTGGGTTAAGAGCCTAGAGATTTTTTCTTAATTACTGAAACAACTATTTACTAGTCTCTGAAATTCACTCATATTTATTTGACCAAGGTTTGGTTTTTATTTTTTCAAACACGGATCATACTTCGTTTCTTGGGTTTGGTTACAAATCATGAGTTTATTCTAGTTGGGCTTGAAGTCTTCCTTTTTTTGAATTTTACATTTAAAAGCAATAGTGAAAGAATAATGGTAGTTATGCTTGGTCTCTACCAACTTTTTCCAAAGCCCATCAAATCTTAAGATAAATGGTAGTTAATTGAATTCTTTAAGTTAGTATAAAGATCCCGAGAACCTCCTTCCAAAAAACCTTACAACTCTTTACTAGTCTCGTAAATTTACTCATATTTACTCAAAAATCTAGATGGCAAAGCATCTCGAGATTCACATATCCAATTTTATATATAAGTTTGTTAAGTTTATTGTCTAAGTTATTTTAAGTGCGTAAATTTGATTGCTTTGCAGTGCGTTTAAAATCATTTAACATTATGTTTGGCTTTATATAGGTCGCAGACGCGTACGGTGAAGCTCCGAGCATTGTTAAACTGGATTTAGGAGTGGGCATTATAAAGCTAAGGTGAGCGTTGGACTTTTCATGTTTTATTTTCACAGCATAAGTTTGATTATTTGCAGTGTGTTTTAAACTCATCTCGGATTGGCTTAGTTTGGTTTTTATTTTTAAACACCGATCATATTTTGTTTCTTGCAAATAATGAGTTTATTTTCCAGTTAAGCTCTATTATGTCTACGTTTTCGAAATTTTACATTTAAAAGCAATGAAGAAAGAATATTAGTATAAAACTAATTTCCTAACTCGTTGTTTTGGGTGGGCAGTTGTATATTTTTTGCAAAGGGCATCAAACCTTAAGATAAATGGTATTTGGTTGAATTTATTGGGTTAAGAGCCTAGAGATTTCTTCTTAATTACTGAAACAACTATTTACTAGTCTCTGAAATTCACTCATATTCATTTGACCAAGGTTTGGTTTTTATTTTTTCAAACACGGATCATACTTCGTTTTTTGCAAATCATGAGGTTATTTTCCAGTTAAGCTTTATTATGTTTACCATTTTAAAATTTTACATTTTAAAGCAGTGAAGAAAAATAGTAGTTTAAAACTAATTTCTCAACTCGTAGTTTTGGGTGAGCAGTTGTATATTTTTTGCAAAGGCCATCAAACCTTAAGATAAATGGTATTTGATTAAATTTATTGAGTTATGACCCGAGAGCTTTCTTCTGAATAACTTATACAACTATTTACTAGTCTCGTAAATTTACTCATATTTACTCAAAAATCTAGATGGCAAAGCATCTGGAGAATCACATATCCAATTTTATATAAAAGTTTGTTAAGTTTATTGTCTAAGTTATTTTAAGTGCGTAAGTTTGATTGCTTTGCAGTGCGTTTAAAATTATTTAACATTATGTTTGGCTTTATATAGGTCGCAGACGCGTACGGTGAAGCTCCGAGCATTGTGAAACTGGATTTAGGAGTGGGCATTATAAAGCTACGGTGAGTGTTGAACTTTTCATGTTTTATTTTCACAGCATAAGTTTGATTATTTGCAGTGTGTTTTAAACTCATCTCGGATTGGCTTAGTTTGGTTTTTATTTTTAAACACCGATCATATTTTGTTTCTTGCAAATAATGAGTTTATTTTCCAGTTAAGCTCTATTATGTCTATGTTTTTGAAATTTTACATTTAAAAGCAATGAAGAAAGAATATTAATATAAAACTAATTTCTTAACTCGTTGTTTTGGGTGGGCAGTTGTATATTTTTTGCAAAGGCCATCAAACCTTAAGATAAATGGTATTTGGTTGAATTAATTGGGTTAAGAGCCTAGAGATTTCTTCATAATTACTGAAACAACTATTTACTAGTCTCTGAAATTCACTCATATTTATTTGACCAAGGTTTGGTTTTTATTTTTTCAAACACGGATCATACTTCGTTTCTTGGGTTTGGTTACAAATCATGAGTTTATTCTAGTTGGGCTTGAAGTCTTCCTTTTTTTAAATTTTACATTTAAAAGCAATAGTGAAAGAATAATGGTAGTTATGCTTGGTCTCTACCAACTTTTTCCAAAGCCCATCAAATCTTAAGATAAATGGTAGTTGATTGAATTCTTTAAGTTAGTATAAAGATCCCGAGAACCTCCTTCCAAAAAACCTTACAACTCTTTACTAGTCTCGTAAATTTACTCATATTTACTCAAAAATCTAGATGGCAAAGCATCTGGAGAATCACATATCCAATTTTATATAAAAGTTTGTTAAGTTTATTGTCTAAGTTATTTTAAGTGCGTAAGTTTGATTGCTTTGCAGTGCGTTTAAAATTATTTAACATTATGTTTGGCTTTATATAGGTCGCAGACGCGTACGGTGAAGCTCCGAGCATTGTGAAACTGGATTTAGGAGTGGGCATTATAAAGCTACGGTGAGTGTTGAACTTTTCATGTTTTATTTTCACAGCATAAGTTTGATTATTTGTAGTGTGTTTTAAACTCATCTCGGATTGGCTTAGTTTGGTTTTTATTTTTAAACACCGATCATATTTTGTTTCTTGCAAATAATGAGTTTATTTTCCAGTTAAGCTCTATTATGTCTATGTTTTTGAAATTTTACATTTAAAAGCAATGAAGAAAGAATATTAATATAAAACTAATTTCTTAACTCGTTGTTTTGGGTGGGCAGTTGTATATTTTTTGCAAAGGCCATCAAACCTTAAGATAAATGGTATTTGGTTGAATTAATTGGGTTAAGAGCCTAGAGATTTCTTCTTAATTACTGAAACAACTATTTACTAGTCTCTGAAATTCACTCATATTTATTTGACCAAGGTTTGGTTTTTATTTTTTCAAACACGGATCATACTTTGTTTCTTGGGTTTGGTTACAAATCATGAGTTTATTCTAGTTGGGCTTGAAGTCTTCCTTTTTTTAAATTTTACATTTAAAAGCAATAGTGAAAGAATAATGGTAGTTATGCTTGGTCTCTACAACCTTTTTCCAAAGCCCATCAAATCTTAAGATAAATGGTAGTTAATTGAATTCTTTAAGTTAGTATAAAGATCCCGAGAACCTCCTTCCAAAAAACCTTACAACTCTTTACTAGTCTCGTAAATTTACTCATATTTACTCAAAAATCTAGATGGCAAAGCATCTGGAGATTCACATATCCAATTTTATATAAAAGTTTGTTAAGTTTATTGTCTAAGTTATTTTAAGTGCGTAAGTTTGATTGCTTTGCAGTGCGTTTAAAATCATTTAACATTATGTTTGGCTTTATATAGGTCGCAGACGCGTACGGTGAAGCTCCGAGCATTGTTAAACTGAATTTAGGAGTGGGCATTATAAAGCTAAGGTGAGTGTTGGACTTTTCAGATTTTATTTTCACAGCATAAGTTTGATTATTTGCAATGTGTTTTAAACTCATCTCGGATTGGCTTAGTTTGGTTTTTATTTTTAAACACCGATCATATTTTGTTTCTTGCAAATAATGAGTTTATTTTCCAGTTAAGGTCTATTATGTCTATGTTTTCGAAATTTTACATTTAAAAGCAATAAAGAAAGAATATTAGTATAAAACTAATTTCCTAACTCGTTGTTTTGGGTGGGCAGTTGTATATTTTTTGCAAAATGCATCAAACCTTAAGATAAATGGTATTTGGTTGAATTTATTGGGTTAAGAGCCTAGAGATTTCTTCTTAATTACTGAAACAACTATTTACTAGTCTCTGAAATTCACTCATATTCATTTGACCAAGGTTTGATTTTTATTTTTTCAAACACGGATCATACTTCGTTTCTTGCAAATCATGAGGTTATTTTCCAGTTAAGCTTTATTATGTTTACCATTTTAAAATTTTACATTTAAAAGCAGTGAAGAAAAATAGTAGTTTAAAACTAATTTCTCAACTCGTAGTTTTGGGTGGGCAGTTGTATATTTTTTGCAAAGGCCATCAAACCTTAAGATAAATGGTATTTGATTAAATTTATTGAGTTATGACCCGAGAGCTTTCTTCTGAATAACTTAAACAACTATTTACTAGTCTCGTAAATTTACTCATATTTACTCAAAAATCTAGATGGCAAAGCATCTGGAGAATCACATATCCAATTTTATATAAAAGTTTGTTAAGTTTATTGTCTAAGTTATTTTAAGTGCGTAAGTTTGATTGCTTTGCAGTGCGTTTAAAATTATTTAACATTATGTTTGGCTTTATATAGGTCGCAGACGCGTACGGTGAAGCTCCGCCGAGCATTGTGAAACTGGATTTAGGAGTGGGCATTATAAAGCTACGGTGAGTGTTGAACTTTTCATGTTTTATTTTCACAGCATAAGTTTGATTATTTGCAGTGTGTTTTAAACTCATCTCGGATTGGCTTAGTTTGGTTTTTATTTTTAAACACCGATCATATTTTGTTTCTTGCAAATAATGAGTTTATTTTCCAGTTAAGCTCTATTATGTCTATGTTTTTGAAATTTTACATTTAAAAGCAAAGAAGAAAGAATATTAATATAAAACTAATTTCTTAACTCGTTGTTTTATGTGGGCAGTTGTATATTTTTTGCAAAGGCCATCAAACCTTAAGATAAATGGTATTTGGTTGAATTAATTGGGTTAAGAGCCTAGAGATGTTTTCTTAATTACTGAAACAACTATTTACTAGTCTCTGAAATTCACTCATATTTATTTGACAAAGATTTGGTTTTTATTTTTTCAAACACGGATCATACTTCGTTTCTTGGGTTTGATTACAAATCATGAGTTTATTCTAGTTGGGCTAGAAGTCTTCCTTTTTTTGAATTTTACATTTAAAAGCAATAGTGAAAGAATAATGGTAGTTATGCTTGGTCTCTACCAACTTTTTCCAAAGCCCATCAAATCTTAAGATAAATGGTAGTTAATTGAATTCTTTAAGTTAGTATAAAGATCCCGAGAACCTCCTTCCAAAAAACCTTACAACTCTTTACTAGTCTCGTAAATTTACTCATATTTACTCAAAAATCTAGATGGCAAAGCATCTCGAGATTCACATATCCAATTTTATATATAAGTTTGTTAAGTTTATTGTCTAAGTTATTTTAAGTGCGTAAGTTTGATTGCTTTGCAGTGCGTTTAAAATCATTTAACATTATGTTTGGCTTTATATAGGTCGCAGACGCGTACGGTGAAGCTCCGAGCATTGTTAAACTGGATTTAGGAGTGGGCATTATAAAGCTAAGGTGAGCGTTGGACTTTTCATGTTTTATTTTCACAGCATAAGTTTGATTATTTGCAGTGTGTTTTAAACTCATCTCGGATTGGCTTAGTTTGGTTTTTATTTTTAAACACCGATCATATTTTGTTTCTTGCAAATAATGAGTTTATTTTCCAGTTAAGCTCTATTATGTCTACGTTTTCGAAATTTTACATTTAAAAGCAATGAAGAAAGAATATTAGTTTAAAACTAATTTCCTAACTCGTTGTTTTGGGTGGGCAGTTGTATATTTTTTGCAAAGGGCATCAAACCTTAAGATAAATGGTATTTGGTTGAATTTATTGGGTTAAGAGCCTAGAGATTTCTTCTT